GATTAAAACAAATCCCTGGTGCAAATCTTGAAATAACCCCAGGGTTCAGGAGAGCCTGCCAGCTAAGCCCTCTGAAAGGTCTACATCAAGGTTTCTATAACACCTGTTCTGGGGGATGTTAAGAGAGGTGGCATGAAAAAGGAATTCTGTGGTCAAATAAGTTTAGAAAATGGGTGTTAAACACAATATAACAGATTATTTTTAAAAACTTCTAACATCTTTAATAAACTAATGTGCTCCAAGAAGGGAGCTATAAATGAAAATGCTTCTCAAACTTATCTGACAATGGAACCCTCTCTCCCCCAAGGGACAAGTGTCTTGTGGAACCCACAGTTGGAAATGCTGATCTAAAAACTCCTCAACAAGCATGAGGCATCTAACAGAGCTGCTCAAAGATTCTAGGGGCTGCCTTAGAAGTAATGAGTTCCCTGCCCCTGGAGGAGAGCAAACAGGGGCACGATGACCCCTTGGCAGGAATATTTTGCAGGCTCTTGGGCATTGGTCGATTCTAGGGGCTGCCTTAGAAGTAATGAGTTCCCTGCCCCTGGAGGAGAGCAAACAGGGGCGCGATGACCCCTTGGCAGGAATATTTTGTAGGCTCTTGGGCATTGGTTATGGGTGGGGAATGCACTGGATTATCTTACAACTGGATGTCCCTTACAACTCCAAGACTGGAAGAATCTATGATTCTCACTTGAGGTGCTCCAAATAGAGAAAATGGACCTTGGAAGACACTCTAGCAGGGGATGGTGTGGGGGTTAGCTGACAGCTTGAGGAAGTCTCATTGTTTCAGTGGTGTTAGGCTGATATATAAGTTGGGAACAAATGGGCAAGCTCAGGCCTGGAGAGGAGAAGTGACATGCCCAGGGCCACTTAGTGAGCTAGCGGCAGAGTGGGAGCGAAACCTGGCGTAAGGGGCTCAGGTCGCCCGTGGGGCTGTGTTCCCAGGTGCCACTTCTCACCTGAGAATGTGAGTGGGAACTTCAGCTTCACCAGGGCAATATCCTTCTCTTTGGGGTACATGACGTTGAACTCAATGATGAAGATCTTGGCCACAGGCCGGGACAGAGTGTTGTCCAATTTGTTTGAGCCGACCCTCACCTTCCAGTTGGACACATCAGGATGCTTCCTGGGGGCAGAAACAGTTGGACTCAGGCCCGAGCCAAGCATGAGGAGGCTTTACCAAAGACTGGGTCCTCAGGCCCTGGGGTTGCGGTGCTGGGTGTCGCTGCCTTAGGAAGTAATATGATAGTGGAGCAGGGGTCGTGGAGAGGGGGAAGTCTGAGGAATCCCCTACCAGCAGCCAAATTCTAAAAGTGGATTCGATTGTTTTTCCTTAGTGAAACCTGCCCAAGGAAACTTCTAACTGGAGGGCGGGGGAAGGAGCTGCTTCCAATGCTAGAGCTCTGGGGTCCCAGCAACCCTTTTTCCTGTCTGTGTTACTCACGTGGCACCTATACTATAGTCAGTTACCTTATGTGCCAGTCTTTCTTTCTCCCGACACCAGACACAGCTTAGTGTGCTGGAGTGTTTTTCCGGGAAAAGATTTACAGCTCTTGTGAGATTCTCAAAAAAAGGTTAAGAACTACTGGCCTAGACTGTGAACCCCTTGAAGGCAGTGAGGGGTCCAATGCACTTGGGGACATAATCTGGCACTTGGTCCTGGGTAGGTGCTCATTGGATGTGAATGAATGGAAGTGAAGAGGGCCTGGGAATGGCCCTTCCCAGAGGTGTGGCTGGGACTCTCTGTGCCGTGCTGAAAGGGAATCCATACTATTTAATTTTCTTAAGTTTCTGGACATAATGAGGGAGTGGCAGAGACTCTAGACCTTGGAACCACTTCCTGGAAGACTGGTAAAGAAGGAGTGAGTTCTTGGGAATCCAGGCAGATGGGAAGAGCTTTGGTGCAGTGAACGAGATGGGGGTGGGAGAGGACACTGGGTGTCTGATGCCTTCCCACCTGGAAGAGGTCAAGCTTGATGCCAGAATTCTCTGCTCAAACCCCAATGCCCAACAAAGGGCATCCTGGCCAGCATCTCACTGGGGTGGCCATACCCTGTTAGTGGTTTCTAGGGGAAAGGAAGAGGGGGAGGAGACAGGGCCCCAGACTCTCCAGCCCCTCCATGGCCTTGACCGCCCCCCTGCCCAGCCTCCTCACAGCCAGGCCTCACCTGAAGCAGTGAGCTGCCGTGAGGATCCAGCGGTGGTCTAGAATGCTCCCTCCACAGATGTGCTGTTTATTGTACTGGAGGCTGACCTGCCAAGGCCAGGCATCCACAGGGGCCTCCTCCCCGCCCACCACCCGAGTAGTCTTCAGGCTGTCCCCACAGGCTGGACTCGGTAGGGAGGAGGGAGAAAGCAGGACGTCAGGCTCTTGGGGAATGGGGCTGCCTCCCCTTAGAGCCCGCCGTCTACCCTGAGCAGGGCCCTGTGACCAGATGGGTGGGGAGGACCAGGCCAATTTGGAATTATTCATGGGGAGATATTGAGTGTCCCAGACCACAGGCTTTCCCTAAATCTTCCTCTCCTTTTTTTGGCTTTGGATGTGTTTAGGAGTTTAGACTGTGATCATGGGTGTGTCCCTTATGCTGGGAATTCAAGACCTTCAAACCAAATAGTGATGCAGAATTACGAAAGCCCTGCTCAGGTGGACTGTCCCCAGCCACTCCCACTGAGTAACAGTAAACAGACGCCCACAGCTGCTTTGGGAACTGGAAGTGGGAAGAAATCTCCAGAAACTAGATCTTCCTTTCCCCAAATCATCTTTCTCCAAGTCCCTTTCCCCTGCTAAGGGGTTTTGCAATCTGACATCGTGTCTTCTCACTGACTTGGCATTCACATCTGACCCTTTAACTCCTATAAAATCCTCCCATTCCACCTCTTTGTCCCATTCTCTGCCTCCTCCATTCCTTTGGGCAGCCACTGCCATGGTGGTCATTCTAAGGGAAAAAGGCTGCCATCCTTTCCCATGCATCTGTGCAAGGCAGAGGTTTATCAAACATCATCTGATTTCCAACACTGCTTTCTCCATGTCACGCTGTCACTCCCTCAAAGCTCTCACTTCCCTCTTCGTGGGCAGGGCAGAGTTGACACTTCTCCTCCCGGCAGCCTCCCGCTGTCTTTATAGAAAATTCCTGTCTAGCCAAATTGTTCTGCTTGTACCTTCCTAAAAGAGTCATTCTGTTTTTACACAAGGAAGTTCCCCTCCCTGAAATTGTCTCCTCTCCTGTTTATCTAAATCATTAATTAACTCCACAGACTTGTGTCAAGTGCCTACTGTGTCTGGGGGGCAGTGCTGGATGCTGGGAGAGTGGTGGACAAGACAGAAAGACAGACATGGTCCTGCCCTCCATGAACCTACAGTTTCATTCTCCAGTGTTTAGCCTGCTTGTACCTTCCTAAAAGAGTCATTCTGTTTTTACACAAGGAAGTTCCCCTCCCTGAAATGTCTCCTCTCCTGTTTATCTAAATCATTAATTAACTCCACAGACTTGTGTCAAGTGCCTACTGTGTCTGGGGGGCAGTGCTGGATACTGGGAGAGTGGTGGACAAGACAGAAAGACAGACATGGTCCTGCCCTCCATGAACCTACAGTTTCATTCTCCAGTGTTTAGCTTAAGCACCACTTCCAGGCCACCTAATCCCTGGGGATCTTCCTCTTTTGGAATTCCCACAGCCTGTCCCTAGTGCTGGCCAGCCTTTTATTGTCATCTTGCTTCGGTCTTGTCTTCTCAGTAAGACAGGAAGCTCCTCAAGGAAGACCTGTCACTTATACATCTCTGTGCCTTCAGTGCTACTTGGTACAGCATTTCAGAGGATGTGACCATTCATTCATTCATTCATTCATTCATTGACTAGCCACCATGTGCCAGATCCCACACACTAGATAGTGGTGGGGGGCCACATGTTAATGAATAAAAATCTTAACATCCAGCAGGGAAGCACATACACTGCTAAACTGCAAAGGTAGTGATGTGACCTTTTTCCTTTTCTCTTAGGCTTTGCAATTTCTGGCCATCTTTGCAGGCCCGGCTCAGTTCTTCTGGATGAGGCCAGTAGGATGAGCTGGGCCACAGCGCTTGTTTTCTCTTCTAATCTCCTCTGTTAGAGCTAGAACGGACCCCTGAGATCCTCACTGGGCAGTTGGACTAAAGGGCTTCTTGGGAAAACGCCCCTCAGAGAGGTTAGGGGAGTTACTCAAGGTCACATGGGATGTGGGTGGGTCTAGCGCCTGGGTCTTCTGACCCTGTCCAGCTCTCTGCAGCAGGTCCACTGTGACTGCTACTCAGTTTGGCACTTGCCACGTGTCGTCTTGCATCTCTCTCTTACTCAGTCATAAGCTCCTGGGATTCTTTTATTTGTCTGTTATTTTCTACTTCCAAATGGTCCTGGACAAAGTTAGACACATTCTAACTTTTCAATGACTGTTTGCTCAACTGAATGTGGGTAATATGATCTTGGATACCTGAGCTGACGGTGACAAAGGAAGTTGTGTGGGCCCTGACCAGGGTGGTAGGGGGTGGAGGCCTGGTCCTGCCCTTTCCATTTTTCCTCCTCTTTCTCTCCTAGGTCTCTGCTCAGGCCATGGGGCTGTGTGCAGATGGTAGAGGAAGTTCTTTACATCAACCACTTGCAGGAGCATCAGCCGACAAGCCCAGAGGCTGGACCAAAGCAGAGCAAAACTTGGAGTTTCACCTAATGCTAATGCAACCCTGCCCTTTCCAAGATTTACTCTTTGAGAGATTTAGGAGTGAGGGTGAAGGTCCCCCTCCCTGTTCATGGCTGGTCCAGGCCCAAACCCTTAGAGATGGGGCGTACTCACCAATGCACTGCAGGGAAACCAGGGAGCCTGAGAGACAGGGTCTGGAAAAGAGACACAGGGCCCTGTGGTTTCTGCTTCTCCCCCAGCTGGGAGGCAGGGGCTCAGGCCTTCTGGCACTGTTGATTCAAGTCCCCTCCCAATACCTGAGAAACCTGCATAATGGGGACTGCACAGTCTAGAAACTGCATTAACACTCAGTTTCATTTGATTTGATTCAACACTCCCACTGTTAAGAACCTACAACGTGCTAGGCCCTGCCTGCTTCAAAGCCCAACCCTGGCTCCTGGCATCCAGAGAGGGAAGAGATCAGAGCCTGGAACAGAGCCTGCTACACTATGGGCTTTCCAAACTGAAAAATGGGATTTCGATGGAATCTCAGGCAGATGATCATTCTGCTACCAACCCTGTCCTTTCCAAGATTCACTCTTCGATGAATAAGCAACTTCCCTGAATGCTAAGGAGCCAGCATCCTCTCTGAGCCAGTGTGACTGAATTGCTGTAGTGTGACAGAATTCATTCGGATGCTGCATTCTAATGCAGGGTGGTGGGGCATGTGAATAGGCCATTGACAAGGGCCATGGAGTCTCTTCCCTGGATCACTGGAATGTGGGGAGGTCTTACTCTTGCCTGGGGAAGGGCAAATTGACCTTTGAAATCTTGTCTATTGGGTAATTTATTAGGGAACCTAATGTAGTAGGAAAAAACATTGGTTTTACTGTTCAGATTGATGCAAAGTTCACTTTATCCATCCCTCTGCCTTCGGGTAGGTCAGCACATCTTATCCAGCTGTCCATTGTATTAAAAAAAAAGGTCAACACAGAAAAACCTCTCAGAAATGTGATTCTACAGCTCTTGACATTTAATGATCTGCCTGGCTAGGAGTTCTTCCTGTTGTCTGGCTTACAGTCTCCTTGCTGCTGGTCTTTTCAGGGTGAGCTGGCTACAGCCCTAAGAGCAGCCTCCATGTGTTAGTCTTTTGTATGCCAGCAGGTGTCCTCTCACTTACCCACTTGAGTTTCGCACCCGAAGCTCCTGGCCGTCTTCTGTGATTTCAACAACATCCAGTTCCTGGTCTGGGCCAATTGCCACAGCTCTGAAAGTGGGTCTGCTGCTCATATCAGGAGGGAGAGAGAGTCGTGAGCTGGGGCAAGGGATTACAACAAGATGATAGGAGTAGCACCCACTCCCAGCAGAGCGGGGGTGGGGGTGGGGGTGGCAGGGGATGGTGTTGGCACTTGTCGGTGAGGGTGGGGCTGCTTTGCTGTATAGTAAGGGACATTCCCTTGGCATTCCAGGACTCAACCTTAGCTCAGTGCTGATGTGGCCTTGCTTTGTTGGGCAGGGGACTACTAGCCCAGAACACAGAGCTCTGGAGGAATGTTAGGGATCCCCTTAACTTCCAGCTCTGTCCCTATTTTAAATTTCCCAGCATTCTCTTCTGGTTCACAGCAGGGGGAACAAAGAGGCAAAGGGACCCAGGTTAGCTCCCTTCTCACCTTGGAGAGAATTGGAATATGGATATTTGGTTCTCCAAACATGGTGTCTGGTCTAACTTTAATAGTAGAGGTACATTTATGGACCTCTTGGAGATAGGTCAGGACTAGATCAGTCTTCATATGAATCCAGATCAACATTTCTCTCATTTGAACTACTCCTCCCTCTTTCCCTCTGCTAATCTGTGTTTGCCTTCTTTCAAACCTTGGGTTTAAGTCTTTCCTCCTTCAGGAAGCCTTCCCTGATTAATCCCTTCTCTCTGATTGTTCCTTTACTGAATCTGCCTCTTCCAAATCTTTCCCTTCTTCTCCACCCCATCATGCTAGTACAAGCTCTGCATGGAGGCTGGGGTCAATTCACGGCACTGGCTGAATGGCTCATTCACAGCCAGGAATGGTGGCACTACCTGGGTGGACCTGGGAGGAACAGAGTCTGCTTTAAGAGCCCTCCAGGTTTAGGTTCTTGTCCTTTAGTTTGATGCGTGACTTTGAGTAGGTCACGTTCCTTTTCTGGGTCTCTCCAAGCCTCAGTTTCCTCCTCTATAAAATGATGGTCCACAGGGTACTTCCCACCTTGGTTTTGTGGTCCTAGGACAAGAAGGACTTCCAATCCAGGTGACAAAGTAGAGAAATCTGAGACCCAGAAGGAGGGACAATGGCAGAAATGGACATTCCCAGGAAATTAACCTCTGTTCACCATTTACATCCTGATGAATAATTCTGACCAACTTTGATTTTTTAAGAGCCCAATAACCAGGTGGTTTGGTGCCTTAGTGAGCTCCAGAAGGGCAGAAATTCCAGGAGCTTATCATCTGAAGAATCCCTGGAGACACCAGGGTTTCATAATCAGGCCTCAGCCTGCGGTGCTAGGGACACCTGACTCAGCAGTTGACTGGACTGAGGGGGGAGGAAGGGCTGTCTGCAGGGAGGCTGGGCTGAAGTGGCTGCAGGAGGAGGGGAGAACAGCAGGTGCGGGGTGTGCCTTCTTCATGTCCTTGGAAATGAAGGTGGCAGGGTGTCCTTTCTAGAGAGTGATGGGAGCTGTATCCCATGGAGGGTAGAGAGCAGCAGAAGCCTGATAACCAGAGAGCAGAGAGGGCAAATAGGTCTGATCGATTTGTAATGGCTGCCTGGAGCATTTACTGAGTAAGGACCTTGAGGCTGCTTTAGGGATGTATGGGAGAGAGTTCTGTGATTGATTGGTGTTGTCTGCCAGTTATCATTTCTGCCTAGTTTCTGGGTCCAGTTTCTTAGAATCCTGAAGAAGTTTGGGGCCTTCCAGAAAGAGGTTATCCCACTCTGCAACTGAATACATGGGTTCTTTTCCAGCCTCTGCAATTAGGATTTTTGGGTGATCAACTGTCTCATCTCCCCTTCCATAACAGATGAAGCCCCATGAAAAGAGAGAATTACCTAACCTAGAAACAGAGATGCCATTATAACTCCTGATGCCAAGGAATTAGGGGTATTGGGCACAAATTAAATTAAAATTTAATCTACTTCTCAGTTACTTACTACCCAAGCAAGTTACTTTCCTTCTCTGAGCCTATTTATAAAATACGTATAATAATAACTACCTTTTTTGTTTTCTGCCAAGATCAAGTGAATATAAATATATATAAGCTAATTACCCTTATAATTATACACCTTTTTATCCACTCCATATTTGGAACTGCTTTTGAAATTTGCTGAGAGAGCTGGGATTGTGGATGATGGGGTCCTAATGAAATCAGGCTTGCTTAAATGAAATTTTAACCAATGGGACTTTGACTAAATAAATTAAGCTTTTGTATTACTGGACGGACAGCTTCTTGCAAAGTCAGGACAAAGGAGTGAGTCTTGAAGAGTAAAGGAAAAGAGGATTGCAAAGGAGCTAGAACTATGCGTGGGGTGTGTGTGTGTGTGTGTGTGTGTGTGTATGTGTGTGTGTATGTGTTTGTGTGTGGGGGGAGGGGGCAGAATACATTCTCTCACTAGCACCTCACAGTCACCCTATGAGGTTGTCATTACTTTCCCCAATTAACTCTGGAGGAAACTGAGGCTTAGGAAATTTAACTTCATGTTGCATGTAAGTGAAAGTCCTGGGATTCAAAAGCAGTTCTGTCTGACTCCAGTGCCTGTATTTTTAGGAAAGAAGGAGGAAGGCAGGAAGGAAAGGAAGAGGAGGAAAGAGGAAGGAAGACAGAGGAAGAGAGGAGGTGGCAGGGGTGAGGTGACAGCCTCTGGAGGCTTGGGTTGGGTACCTGCCATAGCCCATTTGCCCACAGGCTGTCTTGGCCAGAGCGTCCGTGAAGCCGTCGAAACAGGCAGAGGCCCATTTTCCGGTGGCCGAGTCCAGCACCTGCAGGGTGGATCGGTCCTTGGAGAGGCGGACTGGGAGGGGAGGAGGCTGGGTCAGCTGGAGGGTGGGGTCCATCTGGCCCACCCCTCTCAGAACTCATCGTGAGACCAGCCCGACCCCCACAGCCCAGAACTGGGGAACGCCAGAGAGCACCACCACTTTCCACATCAAGGGACGCCCTCCGTTAGGCTGTGTCTGTTTGAGGCTTGTTTTGGTGTTGGATACGCAACCAAATGTCCTGCAGTCAATCTCCATTTTGACTTGTTGTCCTGGCACAATGATTAATAGCGCCCCCTTTTGCTCTTATAGGTATCAGATTTGATGACACATTATGTGGTCACTCTACTCATGGTCCATGCTGCTTTCTCAGCCTGGGGCAACTCAGTGAGGGACCTAGGTCCTTCCTCGTGTATGGCCAGAGGGGGAGATTGACTGAGAAATACCATTGGCAATCGGAGGGCAGGTGCCTGCAGGCATTTGACTGCTAATTAAAAAAAGAGCAAATAAAGAGGAAGTCACTCAGCACCCCTTGAAAGCCTCTATCACCCATTTCCTGGATTATCTTTTTCTCTTCAGAGCCCAAGTACCAGGTGAATCAAGCTGGGCTAGCTCAGTCCAAGAAAGAACATGGGCTTTTATGCTAGAACATCTCATATCCCTTTGACGGATGTAGCTCAGTTCTGTTACAGAGCATGCTACAATACACACTAATGAATAGAAGGAGCAATAGCTGGTTAAGTGGCTTACAGTCTCTTTTCTAGTTCCCTTGAAATAACAGATTTCATGGAAAGGAGGAACTCCCCAAGGTCATCCTGTGCCTCAAATCCTCCCAGGCACAGCAGGAGTGGGACAGCCTCCGTTACAATTTCCTGTCCCCTCTGGTCCACATTTATCCATCAGACAGTTAATTGAGTGTTGCTATGTGTGGGGAGTACTCGGATTTAAATGTAGACAAGACACGATCCTGCTCTCAAGAACCTCGTACAACAGAGACGGAAACTAACAAGCAGGTTGGCAGATGCTGTACAGTGCGCCACGGGGACCTGAGCAGACTTCCTGCTGTGCCCACTCTTGTCCCTCGGCTCCTGGACTCACCTGCCACTGCAGACCCAGTGGGGAAGTTCTTGACACAGTGCTCCTCGTCCTCCCCCAAGGCACAGTTCAGCTCGCCGTCACACACCTGCATTTTTGGGATGAAGTGGAGGGGCTTCCCGCAGAGGAAGTAGTATTTATCCAGAATCACCTTGACTGGAAGGCAAGCACAGGGAGGGAAGAGAGGGCTGAGGGTCAAGCAGCAGCAGGGCAGGGAAAGGCTGTGTTTTCCTGAAAACATTGCGGGGCTTAGAGACAGGTAGATGGGTTCTAGGCTTAGTTCTGCCACCTAGTAGCAGATGTGCTTGGTCCTGAGCCTCGGCTTCTTTATCTGTAAAGTGGAGATAATAACACCTTCTTCATGCTCACAAGATGGCTGAGAAATCAAGAGAGACAGTGTGTGTGTGAGAGACATTTAGAGACAGGTGCTACAGTCTTTTACTCCCTAGTATTCTGTCTGGTCACAGAGGTGAAGACAGGACAGGGACCCGGAGTCCAAAGACCCGGTTCTGAGTCCTGGCTTTGCCATGTACTGTGCAACTTTACACCAATCACTTCCCTGTCCTAGTCCTCAATGTCCTCATCTGTGCAATGGGATGACGGTATCTACCTCACAGGGCTGCTGAGGACATGGGGTGAGCTGGCAGTTGTGAAAGTGTCTCGTAACTATCAAGTACAGTTCTAGAATTGGGTGTTTTTTATCTGGGATTGAAAAGACCATTAAGAGGTTGTTTTGTTTTGTTTTCTGCCTGCTGTCTTCAGATCCTGCAGGCTGCCTTCAATGCTGTTCCTCCTTTGCTGACTTGGGAGGATGGAAATGTGTTATGAACCCCTCAGGGGACAGATGTCGCACAACTTTTCCTTGGTAAGGACTCACAGCTAAAAAACCACACCTGGCAGGAAGGAACCTCTCCCTCCTAACTGAACTCTCCTTGGCCTGACGTTCCCTTCTCCAGTCCAGTGTCTCTCCTGGCTGGTCCTGAGAGTGGGGGCATAAGTCTAACCATGGTCCCCACTTACCACTGTGTTAGGACCTTTCCATACCTCATGGAATCCTGACAACAACCTTGGGAGGCAAGTGTCATCATTAACTCACATTACAAATAGGGAGAATCAGAGTTAGGGTTTATTTTTCAAGGCCACGGAGCGCTAATATGGTACAGCCAGGGTCCGTCTAACTCCCTGGGGTAGCTCAAGATGTCATCTGCCGGCCCCCATGCTCCTGGTTTGGGTGAAGCAAAGGAGAAAGAGCAGGTCAGATATTTTCTAGACCTTCAGAGTCTGGTTCATGGTCAGGAGCCAGGGTACAGCAGGGCCACCCTAGACTCCTGGAACAAAGCCAGGGCACAGTGTCACCAGTTGAGACCCCAGAAGCCAAAAGGTTGAGGGAACCTAGCCCAAGATGAAGGACTGAGTTACCACCTGATTGCAGAATCTGGGACACCCAGGCCTGGAAGCCACACAGGGCTTTCTGGGACCGGGAGAGCCCAACTCTAAATTATGTTTTAGTGCCTTCCCTGGCTTCCCTTCAAGAATTTGGCTCTCCGCTATGGCAGGGCATGTACTCAGAGAATGCAAACTCACTTGAATATTACCCTGAATAAAACAGGATGACAAATGTGCTGATGCTGCTGCAAAACCACCATCATGCTGGGCCAGCCAAGGTCAAGAAGAAATGACAAGAGTTATCTGCATCTCACACCCCCCAGGGCCCTCAGGGATTTGGATGGTGTTTATGTGGTAAATCTGCATTTCTACTCCCATGAGATGGGGATGAATCTGCTCCAATTGGGGGTTGGGCCCTGTCCCAGCTCTGTCCCCAACTGCCAAGCCTCCTCTCTGAACCTCTGTGCTTCAGTGTAGAATGAGGGGTTGGACCAGAGGACCTCTGCATGTCCTCCTACGAGGAGGTGGCTGCTGCTGGTGGAAATGCCACCATGGTTACAAGTGCAGCCTCCCAAAAGGCCATTGCACAGGTAGTCCTACCCTGGGTAGCAAATGTGTGTCCCAGGTCCCATCACTGCACAATGCAGGACACACACTTTTGCACAACCTGCTCTTTATCCAGGTCTTTTATGCACGATGTCATTCTGAGGGAGGCAGGACATTTTACAAGTGAGGAGACTGAGGATAAGAAAGGTTGAGGGACTTATGCAAGGTCACACAGCAGCAAGTAGCAGGTGTCCTGATTCCTACTCTGATCCCCTGTGCTCTACTCCCTGCTGTGACTGTGGGGCTGATGAGGGCAAGGACTCAGTCACAGAATGTGGGAGCTGAGAGGGACCATGGGAATTGCTGCTCATGCAGTTTAATATTCTTTGTCACAGATAAGTTGCCTGAGGCACAGTGGCCTGCTCAAGATCACACTGGTCTCAGGCACTGGCTGTGATGCAGACAGCACTGAAGGTGGGGAGGGGTGCCATCTGCCTGGGTGGTCCTTCCTGCTGCCTCCTGGCTTTCTCCCTCCTCCAAAGTAGAAATGCTCTCTGTTCTTCCAGCCAGTAGGGCTGCTCAGATCCACTCAGCTCTCAATCTTCGGATGATGGGGAGGAGGCAGCAGGGTATGTGGCTTCCCCTGCAAATTACCCATGTGGGTTTGTAACAAATGCCCTGTGCTCTCCCTTTAGAAGTCATCTGGTATAGAAGCCACCTGGGATACATGGAGGCTGAGTTCATCTCCCCCTTTCACTCTTGGAGGAAGGCTCCCTTCAAAGTGGAGGGTGGATACATGTGGATACACGTTTTTTCTTTTTCTTTTCTTTTTTTTTTTGATGGCTGACTAGCAGGGGATCTGAACCCTTGACCTTGGTGTTATAATAGATAAACTTTTTTTTTGCAAAGCTTTATGCAAATACCTGCCCCTGGCTTTTGGGGTGGTTGGGTGGAGGGTGTGGTTGGGGCTGCCACTTACTGAGGGGGTAAAGGTCAAGTGGGGGCTGCCACTTACTGAGGGGATGAGGGTGGAGGGTGTCACTCACTGAGGGGGAGAAAGTCAGGTAAGAGCTGTCACTTACTGAGGAGAGCCGTAATGATGATGGTTGCCAGGATCAGCAGTGCTGCAATGATGGGGACCCACACCTTTTTGAAGGCCCTTAGGGGTTTGCGGGGTTTGCGCAAGGGGGTGACATCTGCAAGGAGAGGAGAGTCAGAGGGGAAGAACATGCAGTCAACTCTCGGAGGCCTCCCCTGCTGAGGCCCACAGCCTCCCAGCCTCTGGCCTGCAGCAGGAATGCCTTGGGGTCAGTTATGGTTAACACTGGTGGGAGTGGGGGTTATCCCTGCAGCCTAGGCTCAGTTTCCTCAGCAGATGGTCACCCACCTCCTCTCACTTACCAGGCTCACCTGTCTTTCACAAGCGCCTGTCAAATGAGCCTCCAGCCCCAGCTCCTGCTTGTCTTGCCTCAGCCTGTGCTAGGATGTTCCACCCAGGTCAGTCTGACCTGTGTCTGCCCTGGAAGAGGTTTGAGTCTCTCGAGCATGTACCCAGGCACATACCCATTTGTTGTACTATTGTTTATACTTTTCCTGACTTCCTGACTTACGTTTTCATTAAACTATAAGCTTCAGGAGGGCAGGGGCCTCCGGCACAGTATGTGTTTAGTAGACACTTAATAAAAACTTATCCTAATGGCACCCATCTCCAGCTGAATCCAAAAATAGCCAGGCCCCAGCATGGACCTTGTCTTTTAGGAGATTACAGTCTGGGAAAAGAGGCAGACAGGGACACAGTTGCCAGTCCCACTAGGTGCGAGATGAAGTATGTTATAATAGAGACACCATCTCTGTTAGACTGGTGCAAGCTTCTTCAGGAGGTAGCCCTTAAATCCAGGTAGAGATAGACCAGCCCAGGCAAATCATGGAGGTGGGGAAGTGGGAGCCACCCGTGTGCCCGGAATACAAGGTAGGTAACAGCATGTTGGGGAGCGGGGACTGGCACAGTCAGTTGGTGGAGACTCTTGATTACCATGCTAAGGAATTTGGATTTTAGGCAGCAAGGAGCCATCCAAAGTTTTCAAGCAGTGGAGAGATACAATCAAATTAATATTTATAAAGATGAATCTTTCATTAGGGAGGAGGTGGATTGGAACAAAAGAGTCTGGGGTTAGGGAGAGCACGTAGGAGCCTATCACTGCCTGAAACACAGGTAATAATAACTTCATTGTCCGTTTCACGTGGTTACCCAAGGAGACGAGAAAGGCTTTGGAAAGTGACATTCTCAGTAAGTAAGAGACAGGTTCTTTTAAGTCCCAGCTTCCAGCAGGCAATAGGTAGAGGAGGTGCCATGGGGACCTCTCCTCCAGGGAGAGCTGGGGCAGGGATGGTGGCAACCCCGAGGAACCTGAGAAAGCAATACGAGGGGTATTCAGAAAGTTCACGGAAAGATTCCTATTATCTTTCAATTCTATCTTCCCACGAACTTTTTGAAGTCCCTTCGTAGGCCGGCTCCGGCCTCTCCCCTCCATGTACTCCCTCCTGCATCTCCTTCAAATTTTTCTTCAAGGTCACCTTCTAGGTGAGGCTTTCCTCAGTCTCCCTGGTTAAAATGAAATCTTCCAACATTTCCATTTTCCTTCTTTGCTTATTATTTTTCCCCAAAGCACTCGTCACCTCTAAATACTCTACATTTTGCATATTTTGTACATTTTCTGCCTCCTCCCACCCAACTTTGACATGAAAACTCCATGAAGATAGGATCTGTTTTGTTTACTGATGAGTCTCTGGTGCCTAGAACAGTGGCCCATAGTAGGCACTCAGCAAGTATTTGCTAAAGGAACAAATGGATTGCTGTTTGCTCTGTTCTCTTAAGCACACCCCTTCCCTCTTTCTCACGGTTCTCCTTTTATTCTGCCAGAATGATGGCTGGTCACGTGTCTGTCTCTATCCCTTCCCTCATCTCTTCCAAAGCAGAGAATGGCATCCCGCCAGAGACTGGGGCCCAATCAGTGCTGAAATTAATGAATCTGTTGATAAGGGAAAGCTTAGGAAACTTTGTGTTTCCTTAAAAGAGAGTTTTAACCTCCGATACGGAGGCCAGACACTAAGGATGTGGACTGGAAGTGTTACTGCCTATAAACTATCAGGACCTGGCTCAAGTGGGTTATCAATAATGTTAGCTGATATTGTTTTCAAAGGTCCAGCAGCCAGTGTTCAGAATTGTCCTCTTTCCTGTGGCCATGGACATGGTGACATTTCTTTCATTTATTCAAGCATGGTTTATTTATTGAGCATCTGCTTTTGGGGACATGAGATTAGTTTATTTTCTCAGAGAGTGAATGATCTATTGGGAGACACGAGCCCCTGTGTCCAGGGCCCAATGCCTCTGCCTCCCAGACGTTCTCAGGGATCACCTGCTTCCCTCAGTAGGAAGGGGAGGGTTTTCATACCTAATTTCAGTTCATGAACACACTGAGCTACGAGTGGCCTTCCTGCCTGCCGTTGTTCCATCCTTCAGCCTGTTCTGCCCACTGCTGCCAGGCAGAACTTCCTAAAAGATGGCTTTCATCCTGCCCCTTCCCTGCTCAAGAGCCTGCTGGGGCTCCCCATGACTTCCACATCTGGACTGCACTCTTCCTGGGCATTCAAAGCCAGTGTAATTTGGCTTCACCTTCTCAGCCAGGTGGACTTCCATAGCTAGTCCGCTGAACCCCCAGTTCTGCATAGGCAGCTTCACTCCCTGGTCTTCAAACAACCCGTGTTAATTCCTATCTCTGGGTCGAAAGAGCTCAGATTCTTCCCTCTGCAACCAAGACCCTCATCACCCCCTTTAGTTTTGTGACAGTTTACTCATCCTGTTGGATCTGGCCTATGGTGTTATCCCTGACCACTTGAGTGGCACTGATCTTTCCTTCCCAAGCTCCCTTCATGGCAGGCACTGGGAGCAAATTCAGCTCATTTTCTGGTTTGGTAGTTCTCAGGCTTACTCAGGTGGTGGAGCACTTGGAAACCTGGTGTTCTTTGGGGATACCATGGTCTATCGATATATTATATTCCAAAGTACACACTGGGTACCATTTTCCTTGCTGAAGATTGCTTTGTCTGTAATCATTATTAACTCCTGACCCTGAACTGAAAAACAAATAAGCCGTCAAAGTAAGTGGGATTGGCCATTTTCTTACTGATCTGTTCATATTAATTTGTCCTTGCTCATTTGTTTTGCTGATCCAGCAGGTTACCAGGAGTAGATATTGATGGTTTCAGAAAATATAACGGGAGGAAAAAAGCCCTTAACTTTGGGAACATTCTATTTGTCATTTTTTTTTTTTTTAAAAGATGACCGGTAAGGGGATCTTAACCCTTGACTTGGTGTTGTCAGCACCACGCTCAGCCAGTGAGCGAACCGGCCATCCCTATGTGGGATCCGAACCCGGGGCCTTGGTGCTACCAGCACCGCACTCTACCGAGTGAGCCACGGGCCGGCCCGGGAACATTCTATTTGTTAACTTATTTTTCTCCACTAAATCAGGCAAACACTGTCATTTTCTTCTCTACCAGTGAAAACGCCTTTGTCCATCTTCCTCTTTGGCAGCATGATCAGACTGTGAACCCCATGAGGGCAGGGGCTTTGGCTGCTGTCTTATTTATTACTATAGTCCAGCATTCAGCCCAGGGCCTGGCACATGGCAGGTATTCACAATTTTACTGAATAAATAAGAGAATGAGTAACTGAACGAATGAGTTGGAGAATCATTGCTCTTGGGATTTTAGGTTTGTTAGTCCTGTTTCCCCAGAAACCAGGGCTCCTACTTCTAGAATAAATCCTGGAGCTTACAGTTATATGTTTAGTATACATGTTTGTTGAATGATGGATGGATGGGCGGATGGATGTCACCCACGACATTTGGCACCTGGTGGTGGTGGTGAGGGCCATGCAAGAGTGGCTTAGTATTTACTCGATAACAACATCAGAGGCTGATATAGACAAAGGAAGGCCAGACCTGAGCTTACCGAAGCTGTTCAGGGGTTGATCACTGTCAGGATCCTGAAATTGAAGGAAAAACAGTGAGTGAGTTGAGCTAGGGAACTGCTAGCGGCCTGGAGGAGGTTCTTGGTTCTTGTCTGCATTTCCTCCTCCCTGCTAAATCTGAATTGGGGGGTCTCTGTGATATCCAAATAATTGGTTCAATATGAAAAATTCAGTCATGCACCTATTTGACCTGGTTCAGCTAGTTTACTGATTATAACCAGTTAGCAATTGTAGAAACAACTGGTTGCTGGGCTGTTGTATGTATTGCTGAATTGCTTGAGATGATTCTGCTCTACTGTTTGTATTCATCAATCATCTATTATAGATTTTTTATTTCTGTAAAAACCTGAACAGTTCACAAGAGGGGACACCCAAGTGGCTGATAAGTACTAAAAGATGATCAATATCATTACTTATCATGCAAATGCAAATTCAAACCACAATGAAATACCTCTACATAGACACCAGAATGGCTAAAATTAAAAAGGCTGACAATATTAAGTGTTGATGAGGATGTGGAGCAACTGGAACTCTCATATACTGTTGGTGAGGGTGTAAATTTGTACAAATACTTTAGGAAATGGTTCAGCTGAATCTACTAATGTTAAACATATGGCTATTCTATAATCTATAACACAGTAATTCTGTTGCAGGATATAGCCAAGAGAAATGAGTGCATATGTTTAGCAAAAAACCTGTACCTGAATGATTGTAATAGCTTCATTCATAATAGCTAAGCATTGGAAAAACCCAAGTCTGTCACTGGTAGAGTACATAAATAAATTGTGGTATATTTATAGAATGGAATATAATTCAGCAATAGACAAGAATAAACTAGTGCTAAATGCAATGACAGATGAATCTCACAGACATAATGATAAAGAGACCAGACACAAAAAAGCATACTCTGTCTGAAGTATACTCTTCCATTTATATGAAGTTTAAAAGGTAAAGTTTAATCTATAGTGATAGAAGTCAGAATAGTGGTTACTACTGGGGAGGTAGGGTGGTTACTGGAAGGAGCACAATGGAGCCTTCTGGAATGTTGGAAAACTTCTAGATCTTGTTTTGGGTGTTGGTTACATTGGTGTTTATATGTGTAAAAATTAATGAGTGGTATTCTTTAGATTGGGGTGCTTTGCTGAATGTGTGTTATACCTAAGAAAACAAACAAAAACAAAATCAAAAACTGCCAGAACTTTATGGTATATCTGAGAGTGTGGTCTTAGGTCACCATTGACACATGTACACAAACACACACAAAGGCCTGTCTTCCACTTGCTCACACCACTTCACATGTACACTCAGCACACACACAGCCACACAGAGGTGCACGTAGGAGCCACTCACACAAAGGCTCACATACAAAGTACGTGCAGCCCCCTTCCTGCCAGGAAAAGTTTCATGCCCTCTGAACCTTCCCTCACTCTCTTTGGCCTCCCAGGAACCTTTCTTCTCTTTCTTCCCTTTCCCAGTCTGGCATGGGATCTGGAATCCCTAGGCTGGGTGAGCAGCAGCTCTTCCTGTGGTCTAGGTGCCTACCCAGGGACTCGCCTGCCCCGTTGTGCTGAGGACACGACTGGCCTGGTGGTGGATGGAGGAGCCACATGACCCTGTGCATTTCTGGCTAGAAATTTTTCCAATCCCACTGGGAGTAAGAGACCCCTTCCAACACCTGGGCGGGTATCCCAGATTAAATATAGGGAGTCCCTGGGTGTTGCCTGCGCCCATGGCTAAGCACAGCATGGACACAGCAATTGGGAAGAGATGCTCCTTCCTTTCCTTCCAATGCTAGTCTGTAGTCTGTTGGAGGACACGCCCAGCCTTGCCCTTTGGTGACACTAGGCCATGGGTAGTGTAGCAGCCAGCCAGCCTCTGGAGTCATCAGGGGCTGAGTTGGAATACAGGCTCTGCCCCCTGGTAATTGTGTGTCTTTGGGCAAGATTTGAGCTTCAGGTTAACCCTGTGTGAAGTAGTAACACCTACTTCAAAGGGCTACTTGAGGATTAAATGAGCCATGTGGTAGAAAGTGCCAGGCTCACACATGGGGCTCCCTTTCCTCTTCCCTCCCACCCTGTGTGCTCCCACAGCATTTGGTGCAGGCCTTCTGTAGTCAAGCATCTCTGTTTCTTTTTTTTTTTTTTGTCTTTTTTCATGTCCGGCAACGGGATCGCAACCCTCAGTGTCGCACCCGCACCTCGCTCAGCCAGTGAGCGGGAACCGGTCTGTATGTGGGATCCGAACCCTCGGCGGGAGCGCCTCTGCGCTCCCAAGCGGCGCACTGTAGCAGTGCGCCACCGGGCCGGCCCAAGCATCTCTGTTTCTTTCCTTTTTGTTTTGGTTGATTTTCTTCTTTTTTAATTTAAATTTTTATTTTATCTATTTATTTTCTTTTATTTTTTGGTGGCTGGCCCATGCAGGAATCCAAACCCTTGCCCTTGGTGTTTTATTTGACAAATAATAATAGTATTGGTCCCTCTTCTTTATTGCCCTTGTACACTTTGTGGTTAGCATTAGGCTTGTACCCAGTAAAGACTCAGTAAATGACTGTGGGCTGAACTGAGCTCTGGGATCTGCACTGCAGCTCTTTCCCAACCATCTCCCTACCATCGCCAGGGTTGGCTGGAGGGGACTATCCCCAGGACAGTCAACAATACAGAGGTGACTCTGTATTGTTGTGGCTATAGAGTCAGTAATAATAATACCAATAGTAACTCACCCACAATTGGCACAGAACAGTTTACCAAGTCCTTTCATCTGACTCAGTCAACTCAAAGGTGAAAAAGATTGATACCAATTGTCTGATAACCGAGATGGGTGCATTAAATAATTAATTACTAAACTAAGTGAATGTTGGTGGATTGTCTACCTTGTACGAGGCATTGCTCCAGGAACTGTGGATTCAAAGATAAGTAAGAATTATGTAATTACAGCAGGTTGGGAGAAGTGCCCAGACCAGACAGCCAAAGGCCTGCCCTCGGGAAGCTTGTGTCCTGGCAAGGGAGGGGATAAAGGGGGGGGGGGGGACAGGACATACACAGATAAGCCAGAGAAGGCCGGGATGGTAGGTGCTGTGCAGAGAGCAAAGTGGTGAGAGGAGGCAGTGCCTGGCTGGAGACTTAGAGCAGGACGTCTAGGGAGAGGTCAGGGTGGTTGGGGAGGCTCCTTGGTGAAGGTGACACTGAGCTGGGACTTGAATGACTAGAAGGAGCTAAGCAGGCAGGAACAAGCTTGGAGGTTGGAGGAACTGAATAGAGATCGGCCTGCCTGGCTGGAGGGAGGTGAGGACATGACAGAGGAGGCTGGTGGCAGGATTGCGTGTGTGTTTGGAAGATAAAGGCAACAGGCCTCACCCGCGGACTGGATGCCCTTGGGATTTAGTTAAGCAGGGAAGGGTGTTTGCTGAGGTGTAGTAGGCTAGAGGGGGGCTGGCTGGAGGGATGCTAAGAGCATCCATGTGGTGGGCCCTTCCCTGGCCAGTTCATTCCTTTCACTGAGTCCACCTGTGCACACAGGCCTGCATTAGTTGAGGTTGGTAGGGCAAGTCTCTTTTGTTAATTATTAATTCAACAAATACTGACTGTACACCTTACATGGGCCCGGAATTGTGCTAGAAGCCGAGGCACAGAGGGAACAAAGGAGGCTTACAGTCTGCCTTCTGGGGCCATGGCTTCCTCCTCCCTGAACTGACGTGACCCAAGTACCCAACAGCAGCTAATGTTTTCAATTGCTACCCACTGAGTACTGTACAGAAAAAACTCCACACCTGTTTGAAAACAAAACAGAGAGAAAAAATAAACCAAATGAAAACTGTAAGCTAGAATTACAGGGACTGTGACCATCTTATTGATCACTGTATCTCCGATGTCTCCTACAATGCATGGTACATAGCGAGAGTTGAATAAATATTTGTTGGAGGAAAGAGTTAATGAATATATCTCAGTTTTAGGACTCAGTTCAGGCCAGCCTTTGAGAAGCTGACTGTGGGCTGGCTGGTTAGCTCAGTTGGTTAGAGCACAGCCTTGTAACACGAAGGTCATGGGTTCAGATCCCTGTACCGGCCAGCTGCCAAAAAAAGAGAAAGACACTGTGACTGTGGTCTATGCACACAGGGAATATTACACTGTGGTCATGAACTACAGGGACACAAAATAACATGGATGGCATTAGCAATTTAATACTAAGGGGAAAAGTAAGTCTCAAAAGATTACATAGAATCTTTTTTCATAAAGAAGCCAGGGAAGAATGACCATGGGATTTGGGATGATGCTTACCTTGGAAGGTAAGTATAGTTCCTGGCCTATCAAAGATGTACAGTTGATATTTACTGAGTTAATAAACTAAAGAGACTTGCTCACCTCCCTCAGCAGGGGGATGGATGTGTGTAGGAGGGAGGGGGATCTCATGGTTAGATGCAATTATTAAGTTCTAGCTTTTGGGGGGGGGGTTATGGAGGCTTACTGTATTTTTAAAACCAACTAACTAGCTAAGGAGTTATGAATGGGCCCTGCTGGACCACCAGGGAAAAATGTCACGAGTCAAAGATTCATCCAGTGCCATGCACCCAAGGTTCAGAGAGAAAGTGAGAGTGCCGTCTCCTGGCTGTGCTGAGTGTCCTCACAAGGCTCTACCTTGACTCTTGTGCTGCCTGAGTGCCTCCATTTAGTGGCTCATTCTCTGGCTTTCTTGAAGCTCTTTGAAGATGATGGGTTGATGAACTTCTGGGAAGGGGAGCTCTGGAGGTCACTGGTATGGGGCTAATGAGCAGGGAAGTGGGTGCATTTCCTGTGAGTGGTGATTAGGGACCAGCCATGTCAGTGACATTCCCAAGCAGGATAGAAACAGGGATTTATGGCCTGCTGCATCAATCCTGAGCTGAGGAAAGAGGAGAATGGGGCTGAGAGAGGTGGGTACAGGTAAGATTCAGGGAATCCGGTCAGCCTCATCCCTATGGTGGGGCCCTGCCATGATCCGGGGATGTGAAGCTGAAAGCCCCTCTAGAGACCACCCCAGCA